CCCTAGGAGAACCTCTCAGGCCCGACTACCGAGGTGGCCGCCGCCGGAGATTTATGCTCTTCTCTCAGCCGGCGTTGACCTCACCATGGCTTCACCACTCGCTCCATGGACTTCAGCTCTGAGACCACCGTCTCCGAACCGGAAATGGTTCGCTCACTGCGTGACGATACCTCCGGCGAGGACCTTGCAAACCTCTCTCTCTTATCAAGAGAAGAACACTCTTCATCTCCGAGTTAGCCGCATCCGGATTCCGAGCAAGACAAACTCATGGTCGAAGATGATAGAACAACTAAGGACTTTTATACTCTGGCCAGCGATTTGTCAGTCAAACCCTCCGGACCCGCCCGACACTCTTGACCTGCCGGATGGTCGCGACTCTCCGACTCCGATTCGGATCTCATCACATCTTGTCCAAAGCGTTAGCCACGATTCGCCGGGTTTGCTCCGCTGAGTCTTCACGGAGCTTATGGCCACCATCAGCTTGGACTCCTCCGGAGCTGTTCTTCCTCCATCCCTCGTTGCCTAATGTAAATCCTCCTAACCCTAAAATTGGACTTGAATTGTTTCAATTGGGTTTGCCCCATTGGTTTGCTCGGAACTGGGCCTGGCCCATGAGAAGAAGACTTAATGTTGGGTTAGGTTTGATAGGTTTATATGAAATATTTTGGGCTAGGCCCAGAATGAATATAAAGGTTGGCTATTTAGTTTAATAGGCTCATACCCAATGTTTTTAAAATGCAGTTTTTCAAAAATATTATATGCTTTTGAGTTTGTTGGTTCCTCTCCTTTGAGAAGGAAAAAGTTTTCTGGATTCTCAAATCCTGTAATTTACTCTCGGTGGAAGAGTTTAATTCCATTTTTGGCCATCTCTTTGAGACTGGTCGTATTTTCTTCCCTCTCCTGGAGAGTGGTCGTATTTTCTTCCCTCTCCTGGAGAGTGGTCGAATCCCCTAACATTATGACGAGATCTTCAAAGTCACATTGGAAAGTGATTACCCTGAGACTCTCCGGCTTTGTCGCGAAGACCCTCTTGACGCATATGAGTCACGACTTGGATTCGTTGTCCATCTTCTACGATGATTTATCTACTCTATATTTTATTGCATTTCAATTATGTTGTAATGATGGAGGATACTTAATTCCCTCTCTTTGTACTTTGATCAATTAATGAATGAAGAATACTTGTTGACAAAAAAAAAGAAAAGAATAGGAAGCAGTTTTTCGATGAATAAAATGACAGTTCTGTAAAGAATAAATTTAAAACTTGCCTTCATAAAGTGATAGCTTGTAAAGCGTTTCAATCACTAATTATTCTATGGAATTTAACCCGACGATTTGTTTCCAAGAATATAATTTAGAAACGTTTCGCGAAACTTGCCCGAAGGCCTTCACGGAAAACGTTTGCAAAATTATTTAAAGATTTAATAAAAATTTCATATTAGATTTTGAAACCTTCTGCGAAAGCGTTATAAAACGTTTGCACAAACTGTTTCACATATAAAAAATAAAGAAATTTTTCAAATCGTTTCGAACTCACGAGATACTTATGAAAGAGATCGTGAATTCAAATCGTTTTCTCTTGCTAATTAACAAAACCAGAAGTCAAATTGAATTATGAAATCTCGCTTTGGAAAAAAAAAGATTTGCTCACGTAACAAACAAATGCGAAGCCACGTGAATAATTTTCTTTCTTTCTCCTTTTTTTTTAATAAAATAAAAAAAATTACAAATTCAATCTGATTCAAACGATGAGACAGAGGGAGATTTTATGAATTAAGATTGTAAATCCAAAAAATTGGATTAAAAAATTGTGAATTAAAGAGAGGAGAATAAACGATATATAAAAACGATTTTAGAAAAATACACAAGAGTGG